CCCCCCGCAACCCAGAACCCACACACTTTCACACTCATATAAAAAAAAACTTAATATGAATTATGAAAACGAGAAAGTTAAGAGTAAAAGAAAAAGGCAACAGCACATTGTACAATAGTGAAGTAAGCAACAAAGAGAATAACAAATCCAAGCAACACACAAACAACATTAACATAAAGGATATATATGAAACAAAAATGAGATTAAGGATCACAAATTCCAGCAGCCAATAGGAACGAAAATGTTTTTTCGTAGCATTTAGCGAATTTGTCATTTTGGCCGGGAAACAACTCCCAAAAAAGTTGTATGCGATAAGCGATAAGCGATATAAAGCACATATATGTATATGTATATATATATATATATCTATATATACTGAAAAGGTATTTCTGTTATTTATTTTGTATCATTATCATTGACATGAACATTGCCATTATGATTATTATAATTATTGTTGTTATCGATTGATTTGTGTGCCAACAGCCTAGCGCATGCCTTATTTAGTTGTAAAAAGAACAAGAAATGTCCCCTAAAATACAAACTAATTTTTACCAATTGCTAAACAATGAAACAATGGCTTGTGGGTACAGTGAAAGCTCTATAGACGAACGGCTAAAAAGATAACTTTTTATCTCAGTTCAAGTTTTAAACTTTTAGTTAAAAAATATAGCACAAGTTAATTATTTATTTGTTTAAATTAACATCTATCAAGTTTATTTATAGACAAAGATTATCTTTGCAATTTATGTTAAAAACTTTCATGATGCAATAAAAGGAAAACGTAGAATTTTATAAATCATTTTAGTCTATATTATTATAACATTCTGTTTATAAATATTCTCTTTTATCCGCAACATATCTTATCTGTGTCGTTCTAGAGAGTTTTCTGTCTTAACTATATATATACATATACATAGGTATATCTATATAAATCTCTAACAAAGGCCAACTACAATCAGCTCTTAGCGTGTCAAACTATATGCCAATGTATGTATATATATCACTATATATACCACTCTATATACGTATATGTATATATGTATATGTATATGTGTCTGTGTATACTTTGTGTAGTTCCTCAGTTGTATTCCTTATAGAGCACATTGGTATATTCCTATAGAAACGAACCCGATATTTAATTGCAGTTGCTTTCCATGGCTTCCATATATGTTGTTTCTATTCATCTATTAGGCTATTATAAGTGAAGAAAGTGAATGAGATAAATGATAAATAAGATTAAACTTTCCCTCTCGAATCAGCATTTCAAAACTGCCGTTATTTGTAGTGTTGTAAAACGTTAAATGAAAATCGCGCACAACCAGCCAAAAGAAAAACACAAAAAAAAAAATAGAAAACATTTGGCATTAAACACACTTAGGTCTATATATGAAAAGTGGAAAATGAATATGAAAATTGCAACTGAAAATGTAACGAAAATGCATGAAATGATCATCAGGCTAAATGATGATGACGTAATTAACTGTAGTTATACTAAACATTGTAGCAACTAAATAAGAAAGAGATGAAACAAGTTAAGAAATCACCCACAAAAAAAAAAAAAAATTGTAAATCATTTTATATAGCAATGAACACACACATTCACACTCACACACATACATACACATACCTACACCTACCTTTTATGTTGCTCTTTTAAATATCAGCGTGTGATTAGAGTTTACGAAGGTATGTCTAAATGAAGCATAACATATTACATACAAATGAAACACTGCCAACAACAACAACATTAAGAAGAAGAATCGAAAACAATTGTTAAACAATAATGAGAACTAGCCCCTCAATTCATTTGAATCATCATTCACATTGTTCCTGAAGTTTTGTTAGAGTTTTCAAAGCAGAAATTATGAAAGCGCGTACAGCTGGAGAGCTTAGTATATATGTATGAGTGTACATATATATTAGGTGCCCCGATAAGCGTTCATAATATCTGTGCTAAACCAAACACATTAAAAATAAAATAAATAAAAACATTTTCAATCAACTATAGCCCCGTGCTATAGCTAGAGTAATTCCGTTAAGCTGTCATAGCTAATCAGCTATCGCGTAACGCTCGTCGTCTGATTGTGATGAATTATGCCCTGACTACGGCACTACATTTGGCACACATATAGTCGCTCTCTGCTCTATATAGATAAACACACGACCAGAACAGAAAAGAACAGAACAGAAGGGTGTGTGCTTCAAATCGAATTGATAATTGATTACAAAAAATTGATAATAAATACAACAACACAGAAAGTTAGCAGAGAAATAAAACAAACAAAACAAAAAACAAAAACAAATATAAAACCATTCACAATTAGTAAAGAAAACAAGAAAGAAACGAATTCATTAGCGTTGTTTTAATTTATTAGTAAGTCAACAAGAAAAAGAAGAAGATGAAAAACGTGCAAAGAATGATATATGATATAAGATGATGATTAAACAGATGAGCGCTAGCAGAAGAAGAAGAAGTATAAATATACATATAAACAAATAAAAATAAAAATAAAATAACTATACATACTCAAAAAACAAAAATAACATTTGCATTACATTTATAATAAGAAAAACTCTCGCATTAAATGAAAAAACCAACTTCAAAGAACTTTCCATACCACAAAAAATACTGAAAATACCGACTTCTTCATATAAACTGACTTCCATAATCATAAACAAGAAGAAAACCAAATACATTGTTAGCACTTAACTATAAAGAATTGCGCTTAAAACCGAAATTTCTCATTTGAACGATTTCCTTTTTATAGAAGATACTATATCTTAAGATAGATATATCTGAAAGTTTTGTTGTAGTTTAACACACACACTCACACTCACACAATCCTCGACTTATCTTTTAGCCAATCCATAAGTGAAGAAAAGAAACGTAAATCCGACTTAACTTTAACACGTAACACACTCTGTATAAATGCAATCAGTTAGATTTATAAGATAACAAATCATATAAGAGGAAACCCCCAAAAAAGGAAAAGCGAAGAAATATATATATAAACACTAAAACAGAAGGGAAAATCGAAAAAGAGTTGTGGAAAAACGTGGCCAAGGCACAAAAAAAAAAAAA